CCAAGCATTCCAGGATCCATGTGTGAGGCATTGAGTCTTAGGCTTTGTTGTAGTCAATCCAGGCAGTGCACAGGTTGGTATGCCTGGTCTTGCAGTCTCGAGTGACTATTTTATTAACCGGTAGCTGGTGCTTTGCTGCTCTGGTGTTGCTACCGATTCCTTTCTGGGCCCTGCTCATGTATTGAGCCATGTGCATGCCCATCTTAGCTGCTATGATGCCTGACTGGAGCCATGTTGTGACAGGAGCCATGTGTTGTTCCATGTTGTGCAGAGGCAGGTTATTGGGCAATAGTCGGATGGTACCGCTCCCTTCTGAGGGTCCTTCAGGATCAGGACTGTCCGGCCATCAGTTAACCACTCAGGGTGGGTTCCATCCATTAGTAGCTGGTTCATTTGTCCCGCCAGGTGCTTATGGAGTGAGGTTAGCTTCTTTAACCAGTAGGCGTGGATAATGTCAGGGCCTGGTGCTGTCCACCTCTTCATACTTCGGATCCTGTCTTGAATGTCTGCCATTGTGATGATTACTGGGTCTTGTGCAGGGAGGTTGCTGTGGTCTGCTCTTAGATCCACCAGCCACTGGGCATTGTTGTTGTGTGATGCCTCCTTATCCCATATGCTCTTCCAGAACTGTTCAGTCTCCAGCCTTGTTGGGTCTGCTCTCATGTTATTACCCTGCCACTGAGAGTACACCTTGGATGGCTCAGTGGAGAACATTCGGTTTATTCTCCTGGCTTCAACTTCTCTGGTGTACCTCTTCAGCCAGGTGGCTAGGGCTGTGAGCCTTTGCTTGGCAGTCTCTAAGGCCTCAGGTATAGACAGTGAGTTGTACTTCTTAGGTACCCCTTTGTTAATCACGCCTTTCTGCAATTCCAATAGCTGGCTAACTTCTCTCCTTGCTGCCTTGATCTTGGTCTCCAACCTCCTTCTCCATGGAGGATACTGCTCCTTATGGCCTTTGTTGAACTTATAGCCAAGCATCTCAAGAATCACGGTTGCTGTGGTGTATATGAGCTTGTTGGTCTCAGTCATGGTCATAGTAGGGAGTGTTCTTAGTGCTACATTCACATCCTCTAGTAGACTTTCAGAAGGCACTTCACTTAGTTTTGGTAACCAGCCATGGGAGTTCCAGGTGTCCATCTTGCTCATGATCTTCAATCTCAGGTCAGCTGCTCTTGAATCAAGCTCATCTGGGCCTGTTATTGAGGCTTGGTACCCAATCTCCTATTGTGGGGGTGATGATGATGATATCTCCCCCCTGACCTGGCGTCCTAGCTCCCCCTTGCTGTAGCATTTGTGTTGTATATATATACAATATATAAAGCTGATTGGTGAGAGAAGAACTTTAAAACTGGCAGTACATTTTGCTGATTCATCTGCACTTTTTCTCATTTAAAACCTTTTGTATGTTTAGATTGTTGCAGTAGTACTTTCACTTCACTAAATATACTAATATAATAGCTCTTGTGTGGGTGTCAGCTGGATGAGAGCAGCTTATGCTCAGCTATGCTTTGAGTTATGTTACTGGTCTACCACAATGGTCCCTTTTGATTGCAGCACTACAAAACTGTGGAGATGTTTGTGAAATCCTGTGCTGGGTATTGTGTGGCCACCTATGTACTGGGCATAGGAGATCGACACAATGACAACATCATGATAACAGACCAAGGTATGCATCCCAAACCCTTGATCGCATTGTGATTGATTGAATTTATTAATTTGGTGAAGTAGTGCAAAAATATGACAGTTAATGTTACTTTGCTGAGAAAAAGCCTGAACAAAGGTGAAGATGAAGGATTTATAAAACAGAACAAGCTAATGCTCCTGTGTTTCCCGTGCCTCTTAGGGAACTTGTTTCACATCGACTTTGGTCACATCCTGGGTAACAGAAAGCACTTTCTTGGAGTAAGCAAGGAGCGTGTACCGTTCGTCCTCACACCTGACTTCCTGTATGTCATGGGCAGGGTTAAAGGTCGCAACAGCCTCAATTTTCAGCGGTTTCGGGTAAGATGAACTGATTGTGTGAGGGTGCGGTTGTGTTTGTTTGTATGTAACTGGTAACTATTCTGATGTTTCAAATTAAAGAATAAGGCTTATTTTTATAGTTTTATTACTACTCTTTAAGTCCAACAAATTCCAGTAGAAGCAAGTTAAATGGCACTCAGAAAAAACCATGAATGATGGAATTGGACAAAGATTGGTGCACTAATGCAAGGAGAAAAGAAGACAGTGAAAGATTGCATATAAACTGAAGAAACTATCCTCTGCTAAGAAATAACAATTGTCTGTGCATGCAGCTCTTTATGACAATAGTTCCATGTTATAGTTAAGTTTATCATTGTATCCATGACCACAAAGTGCAATGGACAAATGGCCTACAGTATATGGTCATTTAAGTTGGAGTACTTGTAGAAATTAAAGCTCTAAAAGGAAGTGAATTGGACATGAAGGGTATTAGATGGCCACAAAGCTTATGGACATGAAATGCATCACTGCAATGAATGCATACTGGTACATGAAACTAGAGTAGGGAACAGGCTAGTTTGTTACAGAAACAACATTTAATTCTTAAGCAGGCAGGTTAGGCAAAGAGTTCAGATTAGGGGCAGACAAGATACAGTGAATGACTGGAGTTCATACACAAAGCACAAAACCTTCAGTGCTAAAATATCATAACTCGTTGAGGTGGTTCGGGCATCTTATCGTGATGCCTTGAGGGTGCCTCCCTCTGGAGGTCTTCTGGGCACATCCAACTGATAGGAGACCCCAGGGCAGACCCAGAACACGTTAGAGAGATTACATAATACATCTCAGAATCCCCCCAGAGGAAAACGTTGCCAGGGAGAGGAATATCCATTGAAGTTAAAAAGTAATACCTAAGTGCAAAATCCTTTGAAGAATGTAATTACATTGACAACCTTTGATCTAGAGGGAAGTGATGTGTGAAAAGTGGGCAGGGT